AGTTTCGTCGGAACGAAGTTACGGAAAATCAATTAACAAACGGAGACGTAACAGTATAAATGATAATTGAATGAATCATTATCCCACTTAAAACCAACTGTTAAGATAATGGTAATTTTATTCAACGACAATGAACAGAAAATAAATTATGGAAGAATTCTAGACTGAAAATGGTTAATGTGCAAATAAAATAATTGTTATTCAAGTAGTTTATTTCAATCCCAACAAAGGCTGACGTACTTGTACTTTTTGAAAATCTGCAGAGTGAGATAAGAGTTCAAGATCTATTACACCCACGTCATCAAGTATTAGTAAATTAGCCAAACAAAAGGTTGTAACTTAATATTACGTGTCTTATATATATTAGTGAAATGCTAGTATAGTTTACATGAATATACAGCACACGATCATGCTAAATTCATCCTTATTACACACAATTTTGAAACTTGGTGGACTGTTAGGGTTACTAAATCCTCGTTTTTCACTCTGGAAGATTGATAACTTTACACACAGTAAAGTAAATAATTCATTAAAAGGAAATAATGTGATGTAATAACCCTAATATGACTTATAAGAAATAATATTATTACGTATCTGCTTGTTTGTTTGTTTCCGGTAGATATTCTTTCCGAGGATCTTCAGCGATACAAGTCTTTTTCTTGATTAAACCAATTTATTCTTCCTCGATACAAACTTGTAGTACACAGTAGTTCCACAATCAGTACGTTTCTCGTCACTTTAAACTTAAGAACTTTTATAATACACGCTATAAATCAGAGCGATTTACAATCTCGATAACTTCGAGGAGTGCAAAACACACACTTTACGGCTCGCTATCTCGAAACTAACAGAATCATAAATTACATGGAACTCAAAGTAACTACTGCTCTATCTTCATTAACCCTGCTGGTGTTGTTGTTTTTGGCAGTTATTTTGATTTAAAAATAACTATCTCCTAAGAAATAATTACTATTCAAGGGTGCTCGAAGATTAAACAATCCTCCTTCACCCTGCTCGTGGCATAAGGTTAAATTTCAATTAATGGTCAGCGGAGTAATGAGCCATATGGGCGAAGAAGAAGTAATAATATTTAATTAATTTAAAAAATAAATTACATATATATATTCCCATATATGTACGTATGATGGTGAGGCATGTAGGCGGAAGTGAAGCAAGTCCAAGGCGTAGCAGAGGCCGGTTGATCTTTGAAGAAGGAGCAAGTCGGTAGCCGATCTTGACAAGTTATCGAAACAAAATGAAGCAAACGGGCTTTTACAGGGCCTGGATCCAAGTGTCAAGGCTGGGATCTATAGATCCAATGCCAAAGAGTTTGATGTGGGGGGGAAACGGGAGTACCCCGAGAAAACCCTGCTTGCTTTTACTGTCAGGCATATATACTAACGAAGAGGGGATCTCGGACTTCCCCGATCATTCGAGAATCATCACGCACGCTACCAGCGCCAAACGCGCCAGCAGCGTCACGTGACTTCCGCTGTGGTAACAATATAGATCAAAGGGCACTACAGTCCAGATTCAATAAAGTAGTACTTACGAGTTAAACGCCGAAAGCAGCTGAAATATTAGTAAACCAATAGGTCTAAGAATTGTTATGTGTGAGGGGGGGGGGTTGCATTTAATTTGTTTTCATGAGAAGAAATAACAGATTTATTGAAAATATAAGTCGTGGCTTCAAAATTATTACTATGATTTTAACGTGCTTATTAATACTTCAGAATACTATATGAAATATATTACTCACTCCAGTATTACGTGTTGTTTTGGTGTAAAATATTCTAAAGATGTTTAAAAACAAACAAGGCTTTAGAATTAAAATTACATACAAACTGATAAGAACTAGTGTTCGATTTAAAATGTATAACAAATTGATAACTTTGTATATTGTGTATTACTGATGGATAATGTACCATTATGAAGGCCAGGTGGTTGGGGCGCTCGACTCGCAATCTGCGGGTTTGAAACCCCGTCACACCAAACATGATCGCCCTTTCAGCCGTGGGGGCGTTATAATGTAACAATCAATCCCACTATTTGTTGGTAAAAGAGTAGCCCAAGAGTTGGCGGCGGGTGGTGATGACTAGCTGCCTTCCCTCTAGTCTTACACAGCTAAATTAGGGATGGCTAGCGCAGATAGCCCTCGTGTGGCTTTGCGCGAAATTCATAATAAACAAACAAATCATTATGAATGTTGGTGTAGAACACAAAATACGCGAATGATCAGCTACCAAGTTAACATTTCATATTCTGTTAAAGTCTGGATTCAACCTGCTATAACAATACAATAATTTTGCTTTTCTCGCACGTGTGTGTGTGTATTTGAAGACCTGGAAAACGAGGAATAGGTTCATAATCGAGTTGAGGAACAAGCGTGCCACCATCGCGTTCCCAAAGCAACAAGAATATACAACACCTAGAAATTACTGTCTATGGTTTT